TAAAAAAAATGTGGGATTAATTACCATAAATAATAATAAAAAAAACATTAGATAAACCCACCGAGCTGTTTATAAGACATATACCTATAGTTACATTTAGTGTTCAACAAATTAAATAACATAATACTTATATAGCTTTTGTCAAATTTATTTTAAATGCTTCTTCATATGCTCATATATCCATAAATTATAGAATATAATCACTTTAATTCAAAGGTTTATTAGAATACGAATTTAGATATGATAATTTTATTATATTAATTAATCCTTATGGCTTATACTTTAAATGTGTGTAACGTTTAAGTTTTAATAATATTATCTTCTATTGATGAAATACTATTTAAATTATTTTACTAGGTACCTAAGTATGTATGTATGTAGTCATCGACAACATAAATTCGTAAGAAAAGTAAGAATAATCAAGACTGGGAAATGTGAATTATTAAATGTATTCTCATTTCTCATGTAGTTGTGACTTTTTTATTGTGACATAATATAGAAGATTTTAATTTCAGTAAAATTTGTTTTACACATTACTATAGTGCATTGTGCTTGAACAAAAACTTTTTTAATATTTGAGTTATTATTAAAGTATTGTGGATCAAAAATTTTTCGTTATAATATAAAATATACATAGATAATTTTATTTTATAGATATTGTAGTTCAAATAGGGCGAAATTAGATATTTAAATGAAGAATAACGGTTTTAGTAATTTTGTGTTAATTTAAAATATTATTCTTGGGTAGGTATTAGGTAACTTGAAACTATTAAAGACTTGGACTTTAGAGTATATTATAATTTATTATATTGTACACACAAAATTACATTTTCAAATTAAATGTATTATGCAAAAAACTAATTCAACCTACTGTATAGCCAATGTCTAATAGCAAAATACATAATATCACATTCACAATCATTCTGTATCGTTGAATTAAAATTTAATACAACAATTGAATTGAACCCTCTTGGCACCTAGCGTATACATAGCAGAGCGGTAACCATAGGTACTTGCTCACATTTTTAACATTACATTGTGTGATATTCACATAATGAATTCCTCAAATAATAAATTTATTCAAATATTCATGTTTGAGTTTTTAAGTATAGTTGGTACCTAAGGAGTAAGGACCATATATTTTAAAATAGTTTTAATATACCATGTAAAGAGTTTCCTGTGACGATTCTTTTTTTCTTTCTATGAGAAACACCGGCCCTTTTATATGTTTTACTTTTTAGTATTTAAGTGGTCTGGAAATGGGGGCTATGATAATAATTTGAACATTTTACATACTAATATTAATCCATCAACATTTTATAATTTTTAAAAATTGTCCGAGTATAATACATTTTAGATCCGCAATATTTCATCCATTTTCTATTTTTGTAAAACAATTTTTAAGGAATATTATCAATAGTATAAACATATTAATAACTTAGAAATAAGTGGTTAGAATTTTGATTTAGATACATCAATATTTTCAATAAACCATCTGTTTAACAATTTACATTTTACATTAAAAAAGTTGGTTCTCGTTTGAAAAATAAATAAGTTTTTATTGCCATACAACACTCCTTGAATGGTATAAAACTTTTAAGTTTAAACAGTTTGAAATAATATGGTCCTCAATAGTATAAATACAATTCAAAATATCTGAACGTTGTTAATTTTTTTACTTGTTATGTACAAATCAAAGTGAGCGTACATATTATACTACATAATATGGTGAATCACTATCTAAAGTTATACAGGCTTACGAAATGCTGGGAGTTAGGCACCTGGCATGTACAAAGAAAAACATTTCTAGGGAGGCGGTGTTATAAATATAATCAATATAAATTAAAAATCTATAATTGTAATAGTTGTAATACTTTTTTTTTTAATTTAAATAGGTCTCACGATCAATAGATCATATTATAATAAATATTATACTAGAATAATTAAAAATACTCATAAAATCATAATATTATATATTTTTGTTTTATATAGATCGCTCGATCCAATTATTAAATACACATATATAGTATAAGTACTTATTGTACAGGCCATAAAAATTAAATTTGAAAATAAGTATGTAAATATTAATCATGGTAAGTTAATTTAGGTATAAGGTACATATATATATATATAAGTTATCTATAATAATTAATAAAATATATTATATTAAGTATCATACTGTATTATTGCAATATTTATATTTTATATATATATATATCAATAATAAATTGTATATCTACCCTATATTAATAACTTTATAATTTTATAAAGGTACCTATACTCATTATAATGAAACAATGAAAGTATTAATATAATTGTTCGTAATAATATTATTAAAAACCGTTTACAATTGTTAAAAGTTATATTTACCTATATATATTAACTATATAATAAAGGTATTAGGTAAATTAATGTTTATAATTGTATTATAATAATATATTATCAAAATTAGAAGTCATGCCTACTTAAAAGAAAACTGATTTATCGGAAGTAAGAAATTATGAACATATAATATTTTAGTGTTATTTTCCTAATAAATTATATCATAAACTATTATTGTATCATATATTATAATATTATGTAGGTACAGCCGTATTGGTCTTACTGTCCTGTTTCAATTTTAAAATATGTTTATTCCTTATAAAATAAACAATATTATATGATTTATATCATACATCGTATTATATATATTAACGGTACAACTGTATAAGTGTTGTGACTTGTGGTACATAAAGATAAAATAAAACTCGTCCTCGACTCGCACTTACATGTAACGCGTGGACGGTGTAGGGTAGCTGCACCGGCGGTGAATCGCAACAGTCATAGTCGTCGACTCCGGTCAATGGTATCACACACACACATAATATATATAATATATTAATAATATTATATTGAATTATATTATTATGTTATATCGATGAAAAATGAATAACCGTTCATCGGACGCGCCTGTTGATCTCGGATGAAACACTGATGCGTATTATATTATTATTATTTTTTTTTTTAAATTTTTCACTTTACGCGAGACAGATATATTGTGCGTATAACTTAAAACATATTATACATATTATTATTATTATATTAATAAAACCGGACACGACTGCGACCGCCGACGCCGATCTATCTAACGTTCACGCTCCGACTGACACAACCGGTCCGCTCCACAGACGCATCGCGTTTACAGATTTTTCATCTTGTATATTAAATGTATTTTTTTTCTCAAATTTATCGTTTCTTTACCATTTCCCTAGGCGGTCGACGCGCGCTCATACAATGGAGAGGGGGACATACTTTTACAGGGGAGAACGTTTTGTATAGCTCACGTGGTGAAGAGGGAATATAAGCGATATATATAGGTTGATATATGACGTACAACTTAAGTACATTATAAACTATAATATTGTTGTTGGAAAAAAAATTCATCTAGGAAAAAAAATTAAGGAACAAATGAAGATATACTAATATACTATAGGTAATACTTACCTATGTTCATTTTTAAATTTTTTTTTTCTTTCAAAATGTAAGTTTTAAGGTATTAAATCTGAAAGTAATTGAAAAATAATGTCACTCTTTTTACATTGCAAGTTATATCAAAAAGCTAAGAGAAAATTGATTTAAATACAACCGCATAATAATTATTTGAAAAAATTGTTTTTTTTTTTTTTTTATTGAAAAGTAGGTAGTTTAATTTTTAGGCAGAATATGAAGTAAATATCAGATTTTGCAATCGTACTTACTTTTAAGCGTTGCAGGACAGCGACCTTTTTCCGTCCAGCGGGCGGTAAAGTGGTTATCCCCATAGTGCCGGTTGGTTAAGAGGAAATCCCCAAAAGTGCTGTGCACGTATATCACGAGTATCTCATGCACTCGTAGGAATTTCTTTTCTATATAGGACTGCCAGTTTTCTTTCATCTTCTTTTGACGTTGGCCACGTTTCGCATTTAATTTTTAAAACTTTTGGTTACATCTTATATTCGTAATGCTTCGAAAACATTGTATTATATTAAAAAATTACTGTCCCACAACTTGTTAAAATACGTAAAAAAAAAAATAAAATTTGTTATGAGTGCTGCGCGTGGCAGTCAAGTACTCAAGTAACGTTGCGCGCAAGCGCATAAACGTAAATCGCAAACTTTGGAAAGCCATAACTTCTAAAATAATAGTATCCGGTAAAAAAAATGTGCACCATCGCTTTAAGCATTAAAAAACAAGTCGTTTGAAAAAAAAAATTGAAAATTTTGAGCCGCCCAATGCACATATACAATACGAATCGTTTTAATACCTGTAACTCTTAAACTAAGCCAGATATCCCAATTCTGACTTCACTAAAAACGTTTTCATCTAAAACTGTAGGTAGTAAAAAAAAAATATTAAAAAATAGATTTTCAGCTAAATTTAGAAATGATTTTGGCCTTTGGGTGAATTTTGAAGATGCTATTGTTCAATGTTCCCGTGTAAGAACTTTAAAATGTTTATGTTAGGTAAGTTTTGATTTTAGTATTTTACCAATGTATTGAGCGTTATACATTTTGAAAAAAAAAATTTTAAATATTCAATTCACAGTATTTTTTTTACCTTTTTTAAAATTTAATAGAAAAATCCGTTGTTGCCAACTGTTGAAAATCATATCGGTATTTATTGTTCTTTGATATCGATAAGATTAAATTAATTAATATAAATAATATAATATTATAATATTATGACATATAATATGGATTAATATGAGTCCATGAATAAAATTGGTGATGTTAATGGCGATATATTAGTCAAGATTTCCAAGAGTTACAGAATATTTCCAGCATTACCAACCAATTACTGAGATTTTAAATGATTGGAAAAAGTGATAAAGATTAATGAACGTTTTTTTTTTATCAGTATTGTTATGTTTAATATTTTCGTATCACTCTTATATTCATAACTATTCAATACTGAATACAACAACACACATTTTACAAGACTTTAGTACCTATACACTACCTATACATTATAAATCATTCAATATGTCTTATATGTTAGCGCATTTGTTTAATGGCTGGCAAGTCGATCAGGCAATTCTCTCGGAGGAAGATAGGGTGGTTGTAAGTAGAATATTTTACTAATATTTAGATTTAATTAGAATACTAGATTAGGTATGGATTTTACAACATTTTATTTTGTTTATTTGTTTTAATTAATTTTGGATTTTCCTCATTATTTTGTAATTTTTAAAGTATTTAAATCTTAAACCAATAATGGTATACAAATGTAACTAAAAACTAACATACTAATAATATTTTTCTTTAATTTAATTTAAAAATTAAAATTGAATATAAATAAAACACTGGCTCGTAATTTGTATTACTTTAGATAAAACTTTATATTTTTATCAATAAATAGGTATTTAATTTTTATTACAAATATTAGAATATTTTATCTTGAAATTAAAATATTAAATTGTTAGTGACAATGTCTATTCCTCAGTAAGTTTAGTATTCTTTGTAAATTGTAATACCATAGAGTTTGTTATTAATATATCATACAATTTTGCTCCAGGGATGGCTTATGGACCAATTTTTACTAAAAAAATAAAAAATATAATAATATTATTACTTATTTCTCATTGGGGCACTGGTTAAATGCCACTAATTATTATTGTGAATATTTTCATAATATTAAAAATTGTATACGTAAATTAGATCCTTAAGGGGATTCCACCCTGTGATTTTCTGTCTTTATCTAACACACGTGCAACATAGTATCTTAGACGTGTTCTTTGCTAAACATATCAATTGATCTAATGAAGCGATAAGAATTCTGAAAACAGATTTGAATTTGTTGTCTAGTCTACTTGAAATCGTTTGTCCCAGATTTTTGGTACTATCCCTCAAATTCCAGAAAACATCATATTACAAAAGAGTATTCAAACATGTTTGTATTTAAATTTTTTGAAGCTAAAATCAAAAAATCAAAATTGTGGGAAAGTCAATTGCAAGAGGACTTGATGACAAATTCAAATTTGTTTTTAGTATTTTTATTGCTTCATTAGATCAATTGGTATGTTTGGCAAAGAATCCGTTTAAAATCCTATGTCGCGCGTGTGTTAGACAAAAACAGAAAATCATGGTATGGAATCCCCCTTAAGATTCAATGTCAATTAAAATCTTAAAAAAAATAGTTGAAACCTTATAACCTAACATAATATAGAGACTTTTTTTTTTTTTTTCTGGTTGTATCAAGGACCGGAGGGGGAACCGCATGAGCATTACTTCCCCTCCGGCCCCCAACATAATGTAGAGACTAATGTAATATAAATCAAAGTAATTTTGGATGTTTGGTTTCTGAAATAACACGTTTAAAAACAATTTAACATGCTATTAACACACTGTCACCCTCCAAAAAACATTGCAATAATATTGATTGGTTTTGTTAATAGTAGGTATGCTAAATTGTTTTATAATAATTATAAAAGGTAAAATTAAAACAGGAAATACTATTTCAAAAAAAACCTGTTAATGTGGAACGTAGTTGTTCAAAATATAAACATATTATTATTTATTACTGACAGATCTAAGATAAAGAATTGAAATTGAAAACTTGATATATTAACTTTTTATATATAGGTCAATTATTTTAACACTATTATTTAATTATTTAAACTCTTTTATTGTAATGAATTATTTTTAACAATTTGTAATTGAATTAAAATATGTTTTTAGCTTTTTTAAGGATTTTAAGAGCTCTTTCCATAGTTTTTTATTGTTTAAAAATCGATACTCTATTACAATAATAGTCTAGGATAGGTAAATATGTTTAATATAATTCTTACATTATAATTTACAGGTTATTCGTTTTGGTCACGATTGGGATCCTACATGCATGAAAATGGATGAAGTTTTGTATAATATTGCTGAAAAAGTGAAGAACTTTGCTGTTATATATTTAGTAGACATCACCAAAGTACCAGATTTTAATAAAATGTAACTAAATAAACCATTCCATTGATATCATATAAATGTATGCTCTTATTACAATTATTGATTATTTATTTAGGTATGAATTATACGATCCATGCACAGTTATGTTTTTCTTCCGTAACAAACATATTATGATTGATTTGGGTACCGGAAATAACAATAAAATTAATTGGGCACTTGAAGACAAACAAGAAATGATAGATATTGTTGAAACAGTATATAGAGGTGCCAGAAAAGGACGTGGTTTAGTTGTTTCTCCTAAAGATTACTCTACAAAATACCGTTACTAAATAGTTAGTATAATATACTAGTTTATATCTTATACTATTTATCGTATGTAAATGCAATGTATTGTGTGTGTGTGTATATATATATGTAATTTAATTTAATTTAATTGTTTTGATAATTATATTTAATACACTCCTGTAAAAACAAATAAAATATTTTTGACTAATGTAGAAGTGAAAATAATATAAACAATTTAAGTTCTTTAACTTAAATGTTTACTATTTTATAGTTATATATTATACATTCATTTATTTACAATTTGAAGTACAGAATCTTATATAGTATAATACTAATTTTGCTGTATTGTGGTTTTGTTATATGCTTTAAAGTTGTAAGTAGGAATTCGAAATAAGAAATATTTTGAAAATTATATTTTATATTTGTATAATTTTTATTTCTTGATTTTCTCATTACATAATAAAAATTAATAAAACTATGATTTTCAAATACTAACAGAGTACTGGTAATTAATCCTGTATAAACATCTTAACATTCCAATTAAGTGAAAATTGCAGACTGGAATACTAGGTTGGATACTGTCATGATCGGGATTCAAATTATTATTTTTGACATAGTGCTCAGTCTCAGTGCGCCAGCAAACCACACAATTTGTGTATCAAGTTTTCATATATTACTCTTGTGTTATTAACGTTTGAATGTATGGGCACAGATTACATAAGTACAGAACATAATATATTAGTATGTCCGTAGGAGTAAGTAATAAGAATTAAGTATTAAACAATACTTACTGAGTAATTTAGAATAAAATATTAATGGTAAAGTAACTTATATTAAATGGTCACCCACAGAATACAGTTAGGTACTTTACAATTTTACATAATATAATATGTGGTCACCAATCGACAATCAGCATTAACTACTTGGTGTTATCAGTTATCACTATATAACATTTTGTTTTATCAGTCTAAAATTCATGTTATCTCATAGAACAGTAATATACTAATATCCCGGAATATAACAATTTACTATTTAGGCATTTAGCACTAAATGGTTGTACCTATTATAGATTTAAACTCAATGTTTTCTATTTTTTCTAAACTATTGTATAATTAGTAATCGCAGTAATTAACAATTGTCAAACGGTGGTGACAGAAGTGCTAGTTTAATGACCGTCTAATTTCACAAAAAGGATACATAGGTAAATAGGTTATTACTTTAATTTTTATATTAAAATATGAATTGTATCTTAATTTTCAAATGATAATTTAAAAATATTACAATTATAATTCCAGTGCACTTTCAACGTTGTAACATATGTTAAATTAAATAATCAACAATTCAATACATTTAATAATCAATATTTTAATTTAAAAAAATGGATGTAAGTGATTTTTATTTTTTACTTAGATTATGATCATTTTACCTACATAATTTTCTAATTATATATTAAAACTATGCTGCATTTGCAATACTTGGTATTTTGTATATTAATTAATAAGTGTTAATGAAATTACATAGAGTACTGCATTGGAACGTAAATTGAATAGCAAGACTGCAGCTCTCACAGTATTAAGTGAAGAATTAGAGAAATGTAGAATTGAACGAGATCATTTGAAAATCATTTTGGAAAATAAAATGTTACATAATACATACAACAGAGTAATATAATTAATCTTGAAAAATAAGTTTTCTATTAAAATTATTATATTTGTACATACATTTAGAATTACCAATTGAATTACGATAAACTTGTGAATCAACTTAGAGAAGAAAATAAGATACTGAGATTGGAAGCTGGGGATGTACGTCAAAAATTACAGGATGCTCAAGGTGACAACCAAGTAAGACATTTTAATTTATTTGTCATAGGTACCTAACACTCATAACCAAATAAGTTTATTGAAAGCTTTAATTCAGAATAGACAGTTAAGCTTCCCGGCTGAAAATAACTTCTTTCAATTTATAACTTTAAGATGAACATTTAATTACAGATTTCCAAGTATGAGTTAAATATCTGTTTTAAATTCATCTATTCAATATTTTGTTTTTTGGTTTTTACCAGTAAACTCGGTAAATTTACTTGAGTAAAAGATTAGTGCAGGCAACTGTTTTATTATTATCATAATTCAAAACATATTCGTGGTCTTAAAATGTAAATCAGAATTTTATAAATACTTAGTATATTTATTAGTCTTATGTTCGTATGCATATTCAATTTATGTGTCACAAAAGTCATAGTTTAACATGTCTTATGTGACACATAAATTGACTATACATACAGGCATTATTGATCTTCTTCTTCTTCATCAGCTCAGCGATCTATTCAGGACCAGCGCTGCCATCAAAATCTCTCTCCATTATTAATCCATTTTCTATTTTGTTGATCTCAGTATAAGATATAATATATGACTCTAGGGAAAAATTAACATTTTCCAAAATGTTCAAGGTAAAAATATATAACTAATTTATTATAAATACTATATGACTAAACGTAAATAGGAGAATTCCTGCTAGATTACCTTCTTCAGTTTTGAATGTACATGAATTTATGTTAAACAATTTTGGTAATAGCAATAATTGTTAGCCGCCAACAACTAAACTAAAATAGAATCATATATTATCAAGATTAGTTAACCATTCTCATCCAACTATATGCTTACTTAAATATGTGATTATATACAACATTAAAATAGGTCCTTTAAAGAAATTGGACAACTAACACTGAAAAAATGTTGAAAATTTAAAAACAGACACATTTTAATTTGTAAATTTCAAAATTCATTCTTTAAAAAAAATATTTAATAATTAATAATTTACTAACAGGTTTTAAGAACTGGTGGTTTTGTCAAGGATTGTATAAATACAATATTAACAAGCTCTGATAGTAAAGAAGAATTAGTAAAAAATTTAGAAATCATACATTCAAAAGTATGTATTATCATCACGTAAATATTATTGAATGTATTTTTATAAAATTATTTTGGGTTAATTTTTAGTACCAGCAGTTAAAGCTTGATTTTGGTTTATTACTGGATGATAAACAAGAATTAATCACCGAACGGGATGGATTTCGAAGTAAAATACGACGGTTAAATTATCAATTAGCGGCATCTTTAAATGCCAATAAAAATCAATGCGTATTAGATATTGATAGTTTATTATTAGAAAACAAGTATGTACTTTAAAATTAATAATAAATATACTTAGTATACATTTAAAAAATATCAATTGCATGATATTTAGGTATTTAAATGAAAGACTGCAGTTAGAGATCGCCGAAAAGGAAATGATAAGGAAAACAAATTCATTATACCAGGTTTATGTCCTTTACAGCTTTTTACGGTACAATTTTTGAATGTAGACTGTTTATATAGTACAGTTGATGAGTTGATCATAGATTGTTAAAATATATACTCAATATATGATTCATTCATGTAGTCTGGGCTGTTTTATTTATCATTTTGCATTGATATTATCGTGCGCTTTCTTTTCAAAAAGCTATTCTTATATTATTATTACAAATTACGTGTTATGCAACAATATATTTCATAGAAAAAACATTTTAGTCTTTCGACTAATAGTAATAAATTTGGATACACATTGTATGATAGTGCTACAAATATAAAGAACTAATTACTCGTAGTAAATTCAAAAAATATTTATTTTGATTTAGTTATAATTAGTCATTTTTAATATAATAAGACAAATTTTAAAATTTTAAAAAAAATGAACTACTTTATGTTTTCAAGCTATATGTATATATATATAAAAAAAAATGGTGGAGTACATGGTTATTTATACTGAATAAATATAGTAATTTCATGCTGGAATAAAAACAGAAAATAACAGGCAAGCATCAAATTTTTATACACTATAACTTCATCTTTGAAATAACTTTCATTATTTTAATATCTTTTATTAAAAAGTTATTTAATTTTTATAACTAAAATTGTTTTTTTTTTTTATAGTTGATTTAATGTTTTGCTTTATTTAACAAAGATTTGTTATCTAACTCGCATGTCAATACTTGGTATATTTGTAGTCTTCAGTGTTCTTCCTCGCATTAAATGGTTTATCTTTGTAAATTACTAAAATTACAATATAACACCACACTTTTACAATCAAGCAAACTAACTGTGATGTACCTATTGTTTATTTTATAATAAACTTACTAACTCGTCTTATTTTGAATAATTAACTAAAAACGTATTATATTTCAGTTAAAAATTAATAATAACTCTTCATTAGAGTATGCTCCACTTTATTTATTACAAAAATGTCTTTCTATTTATTATTTTCATCTTTTACCCACAAATTGCAAATAGATGAGTGTCCTTTTTAGATTTTTTCTATAAATATATTTATAGTTTATATTTACATTTGTTATTAATATGTATTTATTTTAACAAATGTTATTATTTTAGAGTACATCAAAAACAAATGAAGATTCATCCTTAATGTCTGCTAGTAATGCAATAACCCGTAAAGTAATAGCTTGCAAACAAAGTGAGTTGCATTATGTTATACTCCTATTTATATCAGCAAATTTTAATTTTGATTAAATTTAGTGCAACAAATTTTGGAAACTGGGAATCTTCAAGCTTTGTTTTCAAACAGCACAACGCTCGCAGATTTAAGAAAATTATGCCAGACACTATTTGAAGCATTACAAGATAAAACTATAGCGCTTAATCATCAGAAAAAAACAAATAAGTATTGTTATATATGATTTGGAGTATATTTTTAAATGTGTAATATTACTCTAATTCTGTATAGAGTATTAGCTAAAAGATTAGAAGACTTGGAAAAAAAGATAAAAACAATTAACCAAGCGGAAGCCATTATGTCACCTTCGCTGGTTTTATTGAATGAATGTTCAAATACATCTGATGAAACTGATTTTGAAACAAGTTCTATTGATGGTTAGTAAAAACAAAACCATATTATGTAATTTTATAAAAATACATTTGATTAGAAAGTTTTAGTTAAAAATATTTTATTTTTGGAAAAAACTGTAATTTAATGTAATTTAATATAGAATAAAATATTTCGAAATGGCAAAGAAAAAATTTATTTTTAATTTGTCTTGAGCCGGATCCATCCTAAATAGTGTAGTTGTGCAAGCATGAGCATAATAATAATCATATTATGACAATGGCTTTCACAATAATTTGATTATTTCTATGGTCATGTTCACATAATAACATTCATTAGTCATTAATCATTATAGTAGTTATAATATTCATTATTATTTATTTATTTATTATTTAATATTTGATGTACTTATTTTATAAACTAACACTTCGTTTCTTTCTTCCATTTTATTTCAGAATCAAACACTTGTCTAACTTCTAAAGAAGATAATTCTATTATTAAAAGTAAGAATTTTTATATCATCTATATTATTGTTTGTGGTATACATGTACATAGAGAAAAAGTGTACGTAAGCTCTTAGTAAAAAATATTTAATTTAGTATATAATACAACAATTTGTTGTAATCTGATGTAATACAAAAAAAAAAATAGCAAATTTAGGGAAAGAATCGAGAACAAAGCAACAGTTTTATACTATTTGTTTTAGGTAATTTACTACTTGATTTTACTACTATTTTTTCGCTATCTGATGAGGCTTGAATGTTATAGAAAATCTGATTTTTTGTACCCACTAAAAAAATTCTTCTAAACATATTATTTATTAATATTATTTTTTTTTCAGATATTGATTTTGATAAGTACCCTAATGAAATGAATACTCTACCAAAAAATTTGCAGCAACTTGTTACTGAGGCTATGCAAACAATAACATTTGATTCATCAACCCCTACCTCTGCTAAAGCACGTCTCAGTTCTACTTCAGATTGAACATATAATTTAATACTCTACACAATATAATGTTGCATTTTTAATAGATATTTGTTTTATTTTAAAATAAGTGTTATTGTACAAAGAACCTAGTTTACTAGAATTTGCTTTAAAATCACCGCTAACTGTAGAAAACATCTTCTAGCTGTTTGTATTTTTAATTAAAAAATTATTTATTATTTTTAAGCGGCCCGGTGCCAGTTTTTCCAATTTTTGGCAATTCTATAAAATTTGAAAATTAAATTATAACCTTAATTATAATACGTTAAACTAATCTACTAAAATATGACTTCACGGAATAGATCTCTGGCTTTTTAGAATTTCAATTCTATTTTTTTTAATCTGAAAGAAGAAGACTTCCTATAGGACGCATCAAACTCCAATATTTATTTTATGGTATAATATATAATTTAAAAAAAAAGCTTAATATTGTATTATTTTTGAAGACATATTATAAAGTTTGAAATTAAAATATTGAAAAACAGAGTTTGATGGGGGCTGTAGAAATATTACCCTTTATTAGTTAAAAAAACAAATTATCCAATTTGGTTGATTCTGTAGAACATGATCATTATTCCCATAGAGCGTACTTTTGTGTACAAAATTACAATGGCACTGGGCGCCAAATCCTTTACAATTTCCGGGGGGCTAACATTATTAACATCAATGTGAGCGAAGAGGCTTTGATTCCACACAACTAAACAAGGAGTGGGCTTGACAGACTTTTTTGGGGAGGGTAGGGGGATAAGCCCTCTCAAGGTTCCTTGATTTCAGCCAATGGCGGGCGCCTTAAGATAAAAGTTAAAATATTGTCACACATTCTAATGTTAAGTTTAATATTAAATTGTTGTAAAAATGCAATAGTATTATCATAATCATGCAGTTTGTATATTTCTATAACACTTTTTATATATTAAAAATAATAATAAAATTAAAAATAATAATAATAATAAATAATAATACATTTATACACTGACTTTCTTATTACTTGATTTACCTACTTAACATATCTATAAACCATTTATAGTATAATCTAAACAACACAAAATCACAATTGGTGGAAGGATATTTTGCTGTTATAATGATGATTTTAGCCAGTACAAAAACATTTATTAAAAGAATATTTTATTTTTATTAACCATTTCACTTTTAGAACCATTGCCCTTTTTCTTAATATAAAAATAACAATTATTTAGTTTAATATCTTTGATACCTGTATTCTAATTGTAATATGCACATTTTAGTATACCTATGATTATTCTGTGGTTATATTTTTCTTTGTCTACCGGGCCCAGCCAGTGGTACATCTCTTTCTTCCCAAAGTGTTACACCATCACAAGCACATATTTTTTTGTTATTTTCAAATAAACCAGAAGATCTAGCGATAATACCACAAGCAATTCTGTAAAAATAAAACAATTTAAGTTAATGTGCTGAAATAGGAAATTAATACTAATGATTAGGGTAGAGGACTTCTAGCATTTTTACATTTGTTTTGTGCAATCGTAAAAAAGGCCAGCTAGAAACAAGTTTATTTTTTGAGACACCTATTTAGGTTTATTTCGGTTTTATCGATTATGTTCGGACATATTTTCCTTTTAAATAACGATTATCAAAACAACAATCAGTTCTTATTTGATTATTTGAAATTATGCATGCACTGTGGCTGCAGGTCCAGTATTTAAGTGTACACTCATTACTGACTTAGCTATTGTTTGTATTTTATTTAATGTAATTTTTATTGATAAATGCTATTTATTAATTAAGCTCCCCACAAACTGCAGCAATAAAAATGCAGTGAAACACCATCATCATTGCAGTGTGTGGGTACCTTTCAGTTATTAGAAGAAATAAGTAAGTGAATATACTATTATAGTATATTTTAATGAGATTACCCCATCCAAATTAGTTTTTATAACTTAGGTGTGAACATGAATATATAAACGTAATATGTGTGTGAGTTATTGGGTTATGTATGACTACCCTGCCAGAAATGTCTGTGCACGCTTATGAATATTATATATGGCTATGTGATTATATGTTGATTTACTAAAAATAGCAAGAAAAATCAATTTAATACTGAAAAGAAATATTTTTAACTATAATTTATTTATTTTTATACAGATATATTTATTTTAACCCTTACAATACTCCAGACATACTATTATGTTCAAAATACTTATACTGTTCACTGCTCCAGACATATTATTACATTCCTGTATTTTATTTATTTCCTGTATTCCGATAACCATAGAGTTTTAGGAAACCCTGGCTCGTATTATTTCAAACATAATAGATCATATAGATCTCCAAAATTAAAATTTAAAAAATGTTTATTTTATGTAGCAGAGCATAAGTAGTGTAGAAGTGTAAATTTTAAGTGTAGGTTATTATAAGTGTAAATATATATATTTCAGAATAGAAATATTTGTCATATTATTTTAAATATTTTGAGGAACGATTGTGTTCACTGTCATGATTTAAGATTTACATTGATAGGTATAGAAAATACAAATTGTATAATTTAAGTCTTGACCACTGCTTACATTAATTCACATACAAGACCCGCACCTTACTAAGTCATAACCCAACCCAAATAAACAACTTATCCCAAAAATACATTTTTAAATCATTTTTTTTTTCTAATTTTAGGTAGTTATTATTAATTTACCTTTTTCCACTATTTCCATCAATATTTGATGTATTAATTTTGGTTTTACCACAATCGTCTTCATTTTCTGTGATACCAACTGATCGACCAATTAAATGTGATACATTTATTAATTTATCTTTAAAGTAAAATATTGCCCTTCCATCTTCATTAGCAGTGATATTTCCTAAATCACCTGTGTGCTGTAACATTAATTAAACGTTAATGAGCAAACTGAATATAAATAATAATAAATAATAAATAGTACCAACCAACTATAGCTAGAGTTCTTGTATGGGTAAATTCATTAAAAATCAGTCATACCTATATTGATAGTCCCTTACGCGATGCCCTACATGAATCCGGCAAAAAACAAAACATTGTTTGTATTTTGCGCATTGGACGCATCACACTGCGGCGTAAGAGCATAGTCACAATAGAAATTTCAAGCACTCGTCGTACTTGCCGTATTCACGTAGGACACAACGTAAAAGCCAAAGTAGTGTATGCGAGTAAAGCATAAGCTTTATAATAATGCAAAGTAAATCATAAAAAAAAATTTTCATTTTTTTTTTATCGTACCCTGAAATTCGGGTCATCAGTTTGATTGCCATGTGATGTTTGTTTCAAATTAAGATGATCTCCAATCCTGAAAATGAATGAGTTAATTTAAAAGAATCATGATAATTTATTTAAATATTTCAAACCTATCGCATCCGTTAGATAAATCCCCACATTCATATATATGGATGCCATGTTTTCCTGGGGATAATCCATCAATAGTACCATCCACTATACATTCATCATTGTTTATCTGAACAAATCGAACAACACCATTTATACCTAATTTACTATAACCAGTTGATCCACCAAGCATAGCAACAGCAGCGCCCAAGTTCTTGTCAACTTCAATAAAAATTAAAAAGAGTTGTATTGGATGTATAATATATAATAAGGACTGAACAAGATAATTCTTACGGGTAGCACTTCCATATCCTTTAAGTACTGCTTTAATACCGGTTTTTTCAATAGAATTCAAAATAAGGGAAGACGGTTGATCTGTAGTGATAGTAACAATTCCAGTTTCATAGGATATATGAATGTCAGATTTTGAAATTCCATTTTGGCTTAGTTGATCTTGAATTTTATCTGCACATGATGGAGATGACATTTTAACAGCAAATTCTACCTAAAAAATTAAAAAATAAAAATATTGTAAAATATAGGTAGGTAGGTATCCAAGATATATGTTTGATTATTAACTATAGGAGAACATTTAATATTTAATACAAAACTATGTCGAATTGTAATTAACTTAACCAGTTTACCTAGGTTTAAATAAGTAGAATACCTAATACAACAGTAATATCTAGGTACCTACATTGTAACAAAAATTAATGTTGAGTACATCTTACCTTGGCAGACATTTTAGCTTTATGTGCTTATTGTTGTATTAAGTAATTGTATATATCACCAGCTTACTAATTTAATATTGTTAACATAGACAAGACACAAGACGTATAAATCTGATACCTGAGAATAAAAGAATTAAGTGTATTATTGGTGTGTGGTAGATAACATTAAACGAAAACACTATGTAATAACTACTAATAACTGAATTTATCTATTCTGTGCTAATAGACAGATAGGTCGTAGCCCGTAGGCTTGAATTACTGTAAGTATAAAGTATTACCTATCTATTAAGGTATGATATTATAGAAAACCAACGAATCAAGTTTGTAATTCTTGAAAGAAAGATAAATTAACAATAAACTGAAAAGAAAAATCAATGACTGACAAGTAGGTATAACCTGGTAGTAGTTACTTAGTTACTATTTGTGGATAGAGCATAGAAATACAGAACGACAGAACTCAAAGAAGTACAGCACGGGCCAACGGGCTATTTTTTTTTTATAGTAAAATAGTAAGTTAAATGTTAATAATTTATATAATATACGAAATAATAATATTATGTCTTGATAATTTGATAAGATACTGCAACAAGAATATACATACACCCACAGACTTCTAAGCCACAGATAATATTTATTATCTATATACATGCATTACACAACATTACGATGTAGGTATATAGATAAAACCTTAAATTAAACCTAAATCATATAGGTACATAATATATGTTTATGTATAATAAATTATAATATATTAAAATATAATATATATTAATATGTATATTATGTATGCTGCATATACAGTATGCATAACGAAAAGGGGAGAGGGAATTCCCCCCGGTCCCGGCATCTTTAAAATGGAACGGAAATTTGGGATTAGTCAATTTCTTTTAACTAAAGAAACAATTAAAAATAAGAATTTGACAAGTATCCTACTCCTAACAGTTACCTGCCCAAGTTAATGACAGGTGGTCACTGGTCACTGGTAAAAAATAGTGGGACCCCTAATGCGGCGTTCCCACGAGGCGTGAATTTAGGGAGTGATCCACGCCACGACACCTTCGTTCGTATCTCACGACTGAAAATCAAACATGTTTGATTCTACCACGACCCAGTTGTGGGGCCGAAAGCGTGGTTGACTGTCGTGATTAACGCCTCGTGGGAACGCCGCATTAGTTTCTGTCTACACGGCCCTGGGCCCCTGTATAATATCATCTAAGGAGTAAATATGATAAAAGTTTCATCTTAAAACCATGGTTGAATCCGCGGACTAAGGTTAATCCTAGTCCGTGGTTGAATCATTGAACTATATAATAGTTATTATACAAGATTGTATAAGATATTAAGGTATATGCCAATTTAAAGATGGACAGGTGGTAGTCACTCATTAGTCATTAATCACTCAGTTGTCACTCGGCGTCAAAAACTCGAAAAATAAGTCGTAATTCGTGATTTGACGGCATTTAGTTCAGTGTATTGTCCACCAGGAGCGCTGAAAGGCCTATGATTTATTTATTTTTAAACGCTTTAAAAATTAAAACTTAAAAGATTATAATATAATATTCTACTTATGGTTTTTGGAGGACTCAGCACCCGCGTGTGTATTGTCTCCGTCTTACATACGTACGACATGGCTAATTTTCTTTTGCTAGTTTCAATAGGGTGCTGTCATTTTTGATATTAGAGTAAATTGACCTACCTATTATAAAACTGTTAGGCAAAAACATTATCTGTGTTCTCTCGTTGGTTTTTTACGATATTTTAATTTTTAAGTGAGTTATCAGTATGTAAAATATTATTAACAGTTCTATGCGTAGCCTGTCCTACCACAGTACTCTTTATAGTGTAGTTATACTATTTGTTACCTATACTTGTATATCATACAGCCGCTAGCCGTAGGTACAGGTACAGGGACTGTCAGGACTATTTTAAGCACTAAAAAAATAAGTCGTATTCGGTGTTCCGATAATCATTGCAGTGGCGTAGCCCCCCACGAAATATTAAGAAAATATAAAAAGTGTAGGTATTATTAAATCAATATATTATGATAAGGGTTATAGGAACATAAGGAACCAAAATCTAAAATAAAACTTCGGCATCTGTATGTTACACTTAGGGCAGCTTTCACCAAATACTTTAAACTTCGATTACACTTAATCGACTGATAACAGATATTCGACCGATTAAACCCACGATTTAAGATAGTATGGTTGCACAACGACCCATTAGAAAAATGTTATCACACGGCATACGGTTTGAATCGAAAAGTCACGTGATCTACGGGGACCCCCGCATACAGCGCTCGTAACGGTTAAAATGAAAACTAATAAGTTTAAATATAATTTAATATATTATTTATTATTTATAATAATCGTACATTATAATTTATATTATAACTAGCCCTCTGGTCTACCCGTGAGCTTACGCAGCAACAAAATTAAAAATAGTACCTAATTACCAACTACGATAATACATTGCTACAATTTTTCGATTTTCGAATTGTCTTGTTAAGTTGTTTAGTTAAGTCAGTTTAGTTATTTAATTATATTTTTAAAATATAACTATTAGAAAAATGCCAGTCTCATGTTGTGTACCTTTGTGTCCATCTAAATCTGATTCCTCAAAGACTAATTTGTTTAAAGTACCTACTAATAATGTTTTAAGGCTTCAGTGGGCGAATGTTTTAGGAGTTACTTTTAAAAGTTCTTCAAAAGTATGTATTAAACATTTTAAAAAAGAAGATTTAATTAGTGCTTGGGAGTCTGGCAAAGGATTCAGCAAGTACACTGTCAGTATAAAATTATAATTACATTTCTGTTTTATTATTTACCTTAAAATTAATATTATATTATTCATTTTTAGATTTGTTTCAATAGAACTACCCTCGTAAAGGTGCAATCCCAATAAATAATTTAAATGTATTGAACACAACACTTTTGGAATCTAAGGTACCTTATTATTTTTTTTATAAAAAAATAAATCAATATTATGTGTATAAATATCTTATTTAAAGACATCTGGAGTACCAAATATTAATCATGATCATTGTTATGATTTGGTGAATCATAAAAGTGTATCTAAAAGTAGTGATGTCACTCGTGGATCAACACCATATCCTCATAAACCTGAATCGGCTGAATCAATAATATCACCGTTAAATGATGATACATTATTATTACCTTCTCCAAAAAGAATTAAGGTATGTTTTTTAAAGTTCACCATATTATTGTAGTTACTAGTTATTTGGTTTCATTATATTTTTGTAGATACATAATAATTCAAATTATATTCAAGACATTTTACAACAAATTAACATTACCATAGAGATACCAACAAAATGGTTGTATGATGCTGAATTTAATTTGAAAAAAAACATAATTAGTTTTTATAAAGTAGGATCATATAGATGTGATTTTACTAGATGCATAGAAAAACAATTAATTTTGACAGAAGGTAACAGTTGATTTATTAATTTTACTGTTATAATTTACTATAATTGTATATTGAAATAATTGACAGATTTGCAAATGTCACTATACGTTTATGGTAAGAAAATAGAATTATCGGATATTGGATGCATTCATAACTTTGAAACATATGACAACTTACAACATATTCTTAAAACATTTGAAAAAACTAAAGTATGTCAAGGTTCTTCAAGAAAATTAGGTAATCTAAAATCTTCATATGGTTATAAATTTGTTGAATCATGTGGGATGTGGAGACACTTGAAGTGCAACACAATAATAGAAAAAAATACAGAATCTGGTAAAAACAGGTTAGAAATATCATAAATAAAAAATAAAATGTTAATATTACCCAGTTACTATTACTGTATTATATATTTCAGTTTTATTTGTAAATGGTGTGAACGATTAAATTTTATTTTAAAGAACAAAAGATCACGTGAGAAAAATAATCAAAATACTGTGATATATTTTTCTCCGAATAAGAAAAAAGCTCTACAAAAAATTAAAAATACTAGAGCGTTAATAAGAAAAAAAATGACCAGAGCATCAAAGAGGATTATTTACCTTGAAAATAATTTAAATAACATTAAAAATGAAATGAAATCCATTTCTCAGTTTAGACTTGAAGAGCTTCTAAATAATTCTAATATTTCTAATTCTCAATCTGAACTGATTCGAGAAATTTTTAATGCAGCTAGAGTAAATAATCCAAAAAACAGAAGGTACAGTGAAAATTGGATGCTTCTATGTATGCTTTTACAAATAAGGTAGTATTCATTTTATTGTTTTATGAATTAATGTTATACCTAATCTGCATTGCTTTATAATAATTTTTAGATCTCCTACTGGGTATTCATTTTTAAGAAATAATAATATACTACCATTGCCATGTACTAATTCAATAAGGTCACATCTACTAGCGGTTGAGATAGGATGTGGCTTTGATAAAAATTTCTTTAAACTTTTGAAAAAAAAGTTTTCAACTAAATCTGAACAAGAAAGACAGGGTGTGCTTGTATTAGATGAAGTTTTCTTAAGGGAAAGCATTTGTTTAAATAGTCGAACATTGACATATAGCGGACTGGAAGATTTTGGGGGAGAAATAGATACTGACGGTACCTCAAAAGCTAACCACGCATTAGTGTTTATGTGGCAGAGTCTGGGAGATAATTTAGTTCAACCTATTGCAATGTTTGCTTCAAAAGGAACAGTTAAAGGTTAATTAATAAATAAAAAGGTTAAAAATAATACATTTTTGTTATTGATAATTTGTTACTACCAGGAGTGGATTTAGCCAAATTAACCATAAGAGCTATAATGTTGATGGAAGATTCTGGTGGACAAGTAGTTGGGCTTACATGTGATGGAGCAAGTACTAACAGGACTATGTGGAGTCAATTAGGGGTGAACTAAACTTTTATGTATCACATGTAATCTTAGTTTTCCATATGATTTATATTTCATACAGAATAGGTTGACCTCAGTGCCGTGCTAACTTTCATTGGCGCCCAAGGGCAATTTGTCAATTTGCTTAAACATTCTGAT